TGTGGGGCTTCAGGAATGGAAAGTTTGAGGCTCAAGGCTTTCTTGGCTTCTGAATTCGTACCAGGGGGTCTCAAGAGCTAGGGGCCGATATCCAACAAAACTAAGCCCTAAAACCCTAAAGTTAAAGACTTAAACCCTAAACCCCTAANNTAAACCCCTAAACCCTATAAGCTCTAAACCCCTGAACCCTAAACCCACTCCGGACATAATTTGTTCTTGTTCGTCTTGCGGCTCGTTCGAGGCACATCCAATGCGCAACTTATTTCGTGTCCGACCATACCCCCCAAATCCTCACCGCATGGAATCCTCGAAACCTAAACTGCAGCTACTGAAGAACCAAACCTTTTTGGCGAGGAAGGCAAACCAAGGAACAACAACTGAGGCGCATATCAGGTGGCATTTTCTATAGGCATGATCATCGTCGTCCTGGTCTGGGGCTGAGGGTTTTGATTTGTGTTCGATCTTCTAGGGTTCAGGGATCTTCATTGCTGTGATTAATTTATCATGTCTTCTAGCCCCCACGATCCGATAAGCGTGGCGATGGGCGTGGACGACTTGCCGTGCAGGCAGTGGATGCCGCGTGGTCAGCAAAGGGATATAGCAGTTTTTCCATTAGGGTCCGGGGGTTCTGTACACTAGCAGTATCATGGGGAATTCTATATAGGCGACATCACTGACTATCCAGGCTACCACATTGTGGAACCTCAGGAAGACGGGAGAGCTTTACTCTACTGACCCCGCCGAGTGTTCGGACACCTCCTCGTTGCAACTTATGCCGACGTCCGGATGTCATGTGGGACTCCTCTAGGTTCATTTCAATTTTAGGGTTCAGGGTTCTTTTCAATTTCGTGCTTCGCCGTGAGTTTTGTTGCGTGCTTTGGCCTGCAAGCCCAAAGCCCTAACGCCTGAAACCCTAAACTTTTCAAGTCCAAAAAGCGTTTTTAACAGTGTTTTCAACCCGATACATATCAAGAAATGTGACAACATTTACAACCATGTTGAATTTTCCAGCCCCATCAGAGCCTTATCACACACCCTGAACCCTAAACCCTACACCCTACACCCTCTTATAAATCCGAAATCCTCAAATCCTAAATCCGAAAATTCCCAAACCCTGAACCCTAAACACTATAATCTAAAGCCCGAGGAGGTGGCAATGAGGAGCTCCAGGAAGGTCGCCCCAAAGCTTCTCGGAAAGCACAGTTCTTGTTGTGCTGCTTTTAGCAGGGTTTAGGCTTTAGGGCTGGCTTCAGGACTTATTTGCTCATGGGGAGTCAAGCAGGGTTAGAGTAATTTATTTGTTAACTTATGGTTCTCGGGTTCAAACAGGGTTTAGGGTGCAGGGTTTTTAGTGTTGTTTAGCTTATGGGGTTCAAGTGGCGGCCTGAATAATAGTATTTGATATTTCATGTCCTCTTTCCAACTGCTTGTCAGGCCCACGTAATGGGGCTTTCTTGGTTTCTGAATTCAGGTGTCAGGACTTAGGCTCGTTTTTGTCGGTTTCATATACCCCCCCAGGTTTACGCCCAGTATACGACACCCTGAGCCCTATTTCTGATATATTGAGGCCACGGTTGAGGTCTGCGGTTCTAGGATCACGGTAACTTCAACCTGCAGCCGCATGGCAGCTTTCAAAGTAGAATGAATGATTCGAGCGCGTTCAACCCAGTAGCACAGGAGCACGGTACCTGTACAGCTATACCTGCTCACCACGAAACCCATGCCGCTCCCGCTAGGTCTCTAGGTATATTCCGAAGTACAGGGTGGCGTGTTTCCTTTTTGGCTTGCTTGGATACACTACGACCAACACTCTCCATCCCTGGCGAGATCTTTCGGTTTAGGGGTTGTGAACTGTCGCTCCGACACACGTGCGTGGAGCGTTATCGCAAGACCAGAGTTGGTGTAGAATATCCCGGTTCAGAACAAATGGCACTGTTCGTGTTCTAGCCCCAGTTGGCGTTGCCCGCAGCGCGGAGAGACCATTTTACTGTTACCATTGCCCTCGCCACATCGTGAGCTGCAACCTTCGACACCCAAGACTCTCGTACCTGTCGTTTCAGGGGTTGGATCACTTAACAAAAAAGAATAAGTATTAATAAGAATGACAATACTCATAATGATAATACCAATAATCATAGTAATAATAACAATGACAATAATAATAATGCTGATAGTAGTAACAGTCATACTAGCAATAGCAATAATTAGAAGAATAGAACAAAAACACCAAAAAGACTCAGCAAGGGCCACTTGTGTGTCTGGACCGTTGGCCACGGCCAATGGCTACCCGACCCAAGCCGGAGCTCCACGCTGTGCCCGATGAAGACATTTAGGGATTAGGGTTTAGGGATTACGGTTTAGGTTTTAGGGTTTAGGGTTTCGGGTTTAGGGAGTTTTCGGGCGCGATGGTGTGGTGATGAGGGGGCGCTGCGGCCTCGGTTGACGTGGGAAACCTTGTTGCTCAAAACATGCGCAAGCCACTGAAGTGGCAGGCTTGGTTCGCTTGTGAACCCAACTCGCCACCTACAACCGGAACTCTGAAGCCCAAACCCTGTCTTGTCAACCCGATGTCTTAAACTGCGCCCCTAGACCCCGAAACCCTACCCCGGCATCCTAAATCCCTTCTAACACTTCAAGGAATCCTTAAAGGAACCCTTTACAACAATCCGGGATAAACCAATAGGTTAAAGACTCATACACCCCTTTGAATCCAGTCAGGGAGCCTTTGCGGACCCCTACAAGCCTTGCCACCATTGTACCCGGAACCCTTATATAAAGGTACCCTTAAATTTATTAAAGGAACCCTTCAGGAACCTATCACCCCCCCCTCCCCCCTCAAAAAAAAAAACTAAACCCTGAGACCCAGACCCGAAACCCTCAACCCTATTTCCCTAAACCCTAAGACTCTAAGAAGCCTTCTTGGATCCCTTACTTGGAGGTTCAGGGTGGTTATAAGTGGGGTGTTAAGTAGGGTAACTATAGTTACCAACCCATATTAGCGGACTTATAACCCCACCTATAACTACCCATGGACCTCTCAGCCCTTCAAATGATTGGAGGAGCAGGGCCTCTGTGGCCAAAAAGGCCTCGGTTCTCAAAGCTCCGGACACCCGGCGTTTCTGAAAGTTTCGGCATCGGGACTTATAGAGTCTTAGGGGTTTAAGGTTCAGGGGTGAGGCTTCGGGATTTAGGATTTAGGGCGTAGGGATGTCTAGGCTGGGGGGTGGATTCAGAAGGGTTTCGTAAGGGATCGAGAGGCTTTTCCCAGCAAAGAGGATTCACCTGCAGGGTTTAGCGGTGTTAAGGCTTGTAGGGTTTAGGCTTTGGGCTGCCGCAGTTAGGACTGTAGATCGGGTATTTAGGGCTTTACGACGTTGCGGATTTTTTCTGGTGCTTTTCGGATTCAGGGTGCCAGGTATGAAGACTTGAACGTTTTACAGGCCATTTTTGGTGAGATGTGCAGCTTCGGGGCGGCATGACTTCTATAAACATCTTATGACTTTTTGTCAAGAAAAGCAGAGCGCCCTGGAAAAGCAGGGCGCCTCTGTTTGCAGCATTCGGTGTCAGGGGGAGGGACCCCGGAACCTTGCGGACCCCGGGGCTTCCAGTGAAACTGGGCAATTGTTGAGGGGTTTAACTTAGGTTACCATAATAGGGATCGATAGTACATAGTATGGTCTCCTTATAATGGTAATTTAAATCAAACCCCTTAACAATTATATAGAAACCCTTGTAGTAGCACTTACACGGCTGCGACGTACCAAGGAGAAAATAGCCGACGCGACCATCGGCTGCTCGGATCTTTCGGGGTTTCGGGTTTACTACAGGGAACGAGGGCGGTCGGGGGCGGTGGGGGGTGTCGGAATATCGAGTAGCATTATTGGTTCGGGGGTTCGGGCTTAGGGTTTAGGGTTCTTCATCGTAAGAGATATGCACCCAGAAACCCCATTCTCACTGCTCGAAGGCTCCTATGTAGCAAATTCGGCTTCAACATTCCTTTAAGGGGCCTCTTTATGCCAGTGTAAGGATTCTACAAGGGTTTACGGGTTTATTCAGGGTGTAGAGTTTAGTAAAATCTCCACACGGATGAGGAGTCATTCACACCAGGCCTGCATGTCTTCTTTCACGAGGGACTAGTTAGGACTCAAAAACTATGCGGGCCGTTCAAACGATGAGCTGTGAAGATCAGATGCACTTTTGAACCAGCTCTGGCAGTTCTACGCCCTCGTGGTCGCGACCACGGGAATATTTTGGCAACTCTGCGTCTCGTCCTTCGCAGCAACTATTGCTGCCTCTCAGTAGACCTGTGGAAACCAAGAGGTGCTCTTCCTAAGCCCCACTTCTCGGAACAGTTCTTTAAAGGAGATCTAAACCCTAAGTCCTTAGAGGAACCACTATAGTAAGCCCACATAGACCCCGTTTGAACCCTGAACCCGAAGCCCTATAGTAACCCCTCAAAGGTAACCCTCATAGTAGCCCCATATAGATCCCCAATAATTGAAGGGAGCCCTATTCAAACCCTCAGCCCTGTAGCAACCCTTCATAAGGAACCTACTCCCAGACCCCAAAACCTAGAGTCCTGAACCCCAAACCCTAAACGCTTAAACCCTAAACCCTCGGAGTTTCAACTGCAACCCAACAATGCACAACCGCCAAGGCGACAACCCCAACGCCCGAAGCCCGCCGGCTCTATGTAAACCCTACCATAAGACATTCACCAACATTCCTCCACAGCTAGCTTTGCATGCATTCACCCAACTCCCGAAAATCAAATCCTATAGTTCCTGTGCTTGTTTTACAAGCCCTACTCCTTAAACCCTAACCCCCCGAGCCTCGGGAATGGGAAGCTTTAGTGTTTGGAGATCCGATGGTGCCTCATTAAGCTTTTTCATAGGTAGTCCAATATACTAGTACAATATACCTATAGTCTCCATTGTAGTTCCTTTTTGGGGTTACCTTTTAGGATCCTTAATACAAAATTGGTTAAACCAAAAAAAGGAACTACAATGGAGACTATAGGTACTCCCCCAGACCCAAGTCCAACTATTGAGACCCCCCATATTACTGCAGAGGCTTGGCTGGTTGAGTATAAGACCCCTGTCATGTAGAGTTTTACAAAGGACGCAGGTCTCAAAACGACAGGGTTCTTACATCATATGGGCCCCGACCCATGTTCAATGATTTTTGACAAATCTCCCACTTCTACCGCTAACCATATCATACCACGATATACCGCAAACCGTAAATTCGGGGGGCTGAAGAATTAGAATGGGGTCTTGGGGGGTATATAATACTTTTTCTGAAACTTATTAATTAGGCACCCCAATAGGATATCGAGACACCAAAGCTCCCTATTTCGGAACTGACAACCCAAAGATTTCAAGGCAAGCGCGTCACCGCGCGGCCCACGGAGGGTGCAGAGCCAGTGCCAGGCCCCAACTTAAAGCCTAAACCGAACCCCCTTGTTTGGGATTATTTTCATTTCGGTGATCCATGTATCCCTCAGCCCCACACAGCATCATGTGGTACATGCTTGAGCCCCAAAGCACCTATATTTGGGATCCCCCATGGCCAAAGCAGACCCTCAGGCAAAGGCATAACCCAGAGTTCGAGAAGGCTTCCTTAACGGTTGCAGGGCTTTGGGTGTTGGGAGTTGCAGGGTCATGGTGCTTTAGCGCTGTGCGCTTCTGGGGTTCTGGATTAAGGCTTTGGGGGCTGTGGGAGGTTTTGACAGGGTCGATTTTAGTGCTCTGTGCCAGAGGGTCTTGTGTAAACTCACAGGACGTGCGAAGGGGTCTGTAAATTTAAGGTTCCTCTGGCTTTGACGGACCTCGTGTTGCTCGCGGTTCATCTTCGTATCTGTAATGGAAATTATGTGCCTGAAAACTGCGCATGGGCCTGAGGTTCTGATGAGAACTATGGTATAGTATACACCGAAACCCATGTTGAAATAATTCAGGCTCCTATATTATCTGATGTTCATGTGTGTAGGGTCATCTCGCTTTGCACCCCCTTTACGAAACAAGCATCTGAAGAGAAGGAACAGCGCGAAACAATCACCCGTAAACCCTAAACCCCTAAACTTAAACCCTAAACTCCTAAACTCTTAAACTCCCAAACCCCTAAACCCTAAACTCCTAAATCCTTAAACCTCTATCACTTAGGATTCCCGAAGGAGCTCGGAGTCACGGTTGTGAGCCCCCCGCGGTTTTGCAATTTGGTGCATTCGGATGTCTGTTTTCGGAATGTGCCTAGTCGGGTTCCGTACAGTTACAGGTGAATGCGCTTTGTGTCGGCATAGTTGGGTGTTAAACGTGTGGCTTAGGTTATGTATGTTTTTTTTGTTGCCGGTGCTTTCCTTTTTTGCATCTTTCAGGCTGTCGGATTGGAGGTTTTAAAATAAGGATTTAGGGTTGGGTCCAGGCCTGGAGGGTAGGAACTTTTTTAAGGTTTAGGGTTATGTTTAGGCTTTAGGTTTGAAGGGCAGGAACCTTTGACTATTCCTCGTTTAGGGTTTAGGGTTGAAGGGTACCTAAACCCTAAACCCTAAACCCTAAACCTAACTGTCGTCTGGAAACCTAGAAGCCCAGAAGCAGGCGTGGTGCGCTTCGTCGGGGCCACGAAGTTTGCAGATGGCATCTGGATGGGCATAGAGCTGGATGAGCCCAAGGGCAAGAACGATGGCACCGCATCCCGGCTCACAGGGAATAGCTCTTCTCGTGCATGGGTCATGTTCAGGGTCAGTGCGGGGCGAAGAGCATGAAACTGGATATCCCGAGTGTCAAGACTTCTGAGAGTCATTCTAATCAGGAGTTCTATCTCTAGTGTCCATCTGGCTCCTTGACTTCGAAGCCTACGTCCTCGATGAAGAGGTCGCGACCTATCATCACTCTTGCAGATACAGATGATCATCTCCGAAACATCTTTGTTTCAGAGTGATTCGTATGCTGCCAGTCCCGTTGCTGACAACCGCGATGTCTGCTGCTCAAGAGTAGTATCCGCGGCGCATTTGCTTTTGGTGCGCAGTTGAACCTGAGTTTGTTGGTCTTGCGGAGTCTTGCGCGAGAGAGAGAGAGAGAGAGAGAGAGAGAGAGAGTATAAGGTTTCGAGAAGCCACGTGTCCATTCGAGGTGTCAGACTGCCTGGGCGATCATGGCGATGCTGCTATACTATACTATACTATAGTCTACTATGCGATACTATACCGTACTTCTTCTATGCCATATTGCACTGTACTAAAGTATACAATACTATAATGTAAAATACTATACTATACTACACTGTACTAGCCCATACCATATTATAGTGTAACATGCTATACGAAAGTAGCCATTGGTTCCATTTGCAGCCCGATCTCCGGCCCACTGGGAAAGCCCCGGTTTGTTGGAGTTCAGGGTTTTTGGGGACCAGGGAGCGCCATGGCGAAGAAAGGCTTAGAGGTCTGCCTGGGCGTGCCCAGCGAGTTCTCATCAGCCGTGCCGGATGACACCTGTGAGTTCTCCTTCTACATGCCCGACGATATCTCGGCATTTCCTCCATTCCCGGATGCCTCCGAGCATTCGTCCACAGACTCCGACGAAGACTCATGGAAGGATATGATCGACCGTTACAGTGAGTTCTTGATTGAGATGCAGGCAACTCGGCCTGAAATTTTGCGAGGGATCCGTACTTTTGAAGTCCTCCGGGAAGGCCCCCGACGTTGGATTAAAGGCGATTTGCACGGCCTCCATGCCCGCACTGAAGTGGTGACAAAGCTTGATGAGTTTTGGTCCCACAGCTGGCAACTCCGTCCTTTGACGAAGTATGCGAGCCTACTCTTCGTCAGCAATGGCTTTCCGGCATTCGTAGTGGGCACGGCCAGTGCCTTCGTGCCCTTCGCGCTGTTTGCAGCCGGGATCCTGCCCTGGGATGCTAGGCAGGCCAGGCCTTTGGGACATTTTAGGTTTTCCCTTGTTGGTCTTAAGAGGATCTTAACTCCGAACACTTCTCAAGGGCCGTAAAGGGCCAACCTAGGAGAGATTATGCACCCTCTGTGGTGCGGTTGGCTACTACCTCACCCTGCTGCTTTGGCGGCAGAGGACGAAGATCTTCCTGGATATTGCCTGTATCAACCAGACAGACCCACAAGAAAAGGCTGAGGGGCTCATCAGCTTGGGGGCATTTTTGAAGAACTCTCGATCTCTACTTGTTCTTTGGGATACCACGCTGGTGTCAAGGCTCTGGTGTATATTTGAGATGGCAGCTTTCCTGCGCAGCCATGGGTTAGACTCCCAAAGGAAGTCCTTCGTGATTTGCCCAATTTTCGCGGGGCTGGCCTACCTTGTCGGCAATTGTGGTTTGTGCCTGCTCTGCCTCATTTTCATTTACTCGCTGTCACTGATGCCCGTGTTTCCGTACGGCGGGATGGTGATGTCCGCACTGGCTTTTCCATGCTTGACAAGCCTCGTGTATGTTATTCTACTACACTATCGCAATGTCGACACCGTGCAGAGACAGTTGCGGCATTTCAAGATTCGAGACGCCTCTAGTGCCTGCTGTGCCTGTAACCATGTTAATCCAGAAACGGGCGAGCAGATGTTCTGCGACCGCAACATCATTCTCCGGTGCATTTCAGCATGGTTCGGTTCCACGCATGACTTCGAGTCTGTCGTTCGAGGAAGGCTGCGAGATGCGCTCGTGGGGGAACTGGCCAACCGCACCTTCACATATTGGCGCATCGTGCAGGCAACCTGCCCCGTCCTGTGGATGGGACTGGACCTCTTGACAAACGACATCGTTGAGACACCGAACATTATCCTCAGCATTATACTGTATTGGCTTATTCTTGTCCCAAACGTAGCTCTAGTTGTGCTCCGACTATGCTACATGGCCAAGCTTCTGTGCGATGGTAGGTTCGCGCGCGCCTTGCTCGCCATCGGGTTCGTGGCCACTGGTGTGCTCATGTTCGGCACCTGCTTCGCATCTCAGATGATATATCTTCCTTATTTTCTGCGTCAGTATTTCGGTCCGGATCCAACGAAGCACGCACCTGCATGGGTGCTATCTACGGTGGTGCATATCTGCATTCTTGGCCCTTGCAGCCTTCTTCTATGGCGGCGTGTGCCAGAGATTCATGCAGAAAGCCCCTCTGCGAGCAGCGGCGGATGAAGCGAAAACTGGCATGCGTGTCTTCATCCGGTAGATATTCCAAGCTTTCTGCCGGTTGTAATGAGTGGCATAAACACCTGAGTCCATCCCGGAGCCCTGAACCATTGACATAAGTAGTTTGAACTTGGTTCGGAGCCTCTGCCTGCAGCCAGGCCTCTTCCGGGTATAGGCCTGGCTAGAAGTTTGTTGCGGTTTAGGGTTTAGGGTTGAGTATGTCTTCATCATCCCTCCTACACCCCAGCTTCCATCGTCGACAGTCGTAGCCGCCCAAACACGAATTCAGAGGAACCTGCAAAATTTGGAAGGCTGAGGTAAACCTCTAAGGCTGCAATGACTGTAGGTCTTGCCTTGACATGCGAATTTGATTAGGACTTCTACGTGGGGTATATGGACAGTTCTCTAAATTAGGGTCCCTTTCAGGGTCCTTCCATAATGGTGTCGTATGGTGCCGTCCTATTTTGGGTACCTAAAATGGACGTTTGGGGTTTAGGACATTGCGAGGTACAAGAGGTGAGCTACTTCACGGCGAAGCCTCAGCCTCTCGGCGAGAATAGGGGTTCTTTGCGTCTGCTTTTGAGGGTTTTATGATACAGGGGGGGGGTGTGGCTTAAGGTGCAAGATTTAGGGTCTGTGGGTTCGGGTCATTGTCATCTCTCGTTTTAGGATCTGGGAGAAGGCTTTAATGTCACCACTTCAGATTCGGTTCGGGGGATTAGGGTTTAGGAACTTCAGAACTATGAATTTGAGACGAGCAGGCTCTTCTATGGGTCGTCGGGGGAAGTCCTGGCAGCAGAAGCAGAAAGGAAGGAGCACTAAACCCTGAGGCCACACCCTGAACCCTGTTCCATGATCCAACTTCTTAGCTTCTGCTAAAACCCTAAACCCTTAACCCTAAACCCTAAAGTCCAACATGCCCTCGAAAGGCACGGGCTCTTCGTGCGCTTGGGAAAAGCCGAGCCAATACTGGACTCAGCCGCTGCGTGGCGCCCTAGAGACAAGTGTCAGGCTCTAGGCGAAGGCTCCATGCTAAATCAGCTCCTTTAAAGAGACTGTAGGGTGCATGGAGTGTTGGCTCCAACCAGATTTCTCCACATTTTCGTGTTTTGGGGCTGCAGCGGAAGGGCTCAAGGCTCTGCAACCAGGATTCTTCCGCACGGTTGCCGCAAGAAGAGTTCAGGAACAAAAATGCAACCAGAGGCTGGACGTGTTCTCTTGTTTTTGGGCGGAGACTAGCAATAAACAGGTTTTCAGGGAACACCCCACATGACGCAGCCTTGGGTGTTCGGGATTCACGCATACTTTTACACCTCATCGAAAATCTTTCTGCAGCGTGCTTCCTGTGGTAGTGTCAATGCTCACCCTACACCCCAAGCCCCAAACCCTACCTAGAGTCTCCATTGTAGTTCCTTTTTTTGGTTTACCCAATTTTGTATTAAGGATCCTAACAGGTAACCCCAAAAAGGAACTACAATGGAGACTGTAGGTAGAGTTGTGAAACAAATACCTGCAACTTCTCGGGAACCTGGGCCGGAATTATATAGAACCTAGAGGCATGAAAAAAATAGAACCAACAAAGCAATTCAATATCATGGATATAAAAAATATCAAAGAAATACACAGCAACCAACCACGATTGCAAAAAAGATAAAGAATAAACTCAAAACAAAACAGGCTCGTTAGTTCGTTGTGTTTTACGTGTCTTCTTTTTGTTTTATTTTTGTTTTTCCAGTCAAAAGCAAAAATAACACAAAAAACAACACACACTGTATTCCTTGCTGCATTGTGCTCGTTTTTGGTTGCATTTTATCTGTGTTGTTTTTTGTCTTATTTTTGATTGTTTTTCCTTGCTGCAGTGTGCTCTTGTTTGCTTGTATTTTGTGTGTTTTCTTTTTGGTTTATTTTGTTTTTCCAAAGTCAAAACAAAAATAAAACGCAAAAAACAAAAATGCAACAAAAGCAACACAAACATTGTCTTCCTTGCTGCCTTGTGCTCGTTGTTGGTTGTAGTTTGCTTGTTTTATTTAGATTTTATTTTTTGTCCAAGGAAAAACCGAAACTAAAAACAAAATAAAAACCATACAAAAGAACTAAAACATAATTATCAAATTGTCTTCCTTGCTTCGTTGTTTTTGTTGATTTGTGTTCTTTTTTTGGAACTGTGCTGTTTTCCGTCTCACTTTTTTCGTTGCGTTTCCATTTTGCTTGCTCTTCGGAAAATTAATACATCGTTGATTTCCGATGCGTTACGGGCCTGTTGATGTCACAACCCTAGAGCCCCATATCTTTACAAGACTCGCGAAGATCCAAAGTGTTTTTTGCCTTGCAGCCCCTAAGCCGCAGCGTAACCCCCACAGCTCTACACTGTCAAATCCAAAGCCCTAAGTAAACGACAGCGAAGTGCTAACTCTTCGACGTTTCCTGCGTTTGCCTGAGTCCTCTAAACCCGAAACCCTAAACCCTTAAACCCTATGAACACTATACCCGAAGAGGCCCCCTTCGAGGATTCGAGGATCGGATAGCCTTTCTCGTATCATGGGTTCTGGCAATGGGAGGATCCGGAGGTAGGGTACCTTGTGTAGGAATCCCTGCAGTAAGCACCCTGCTACTGTAGGTTCTACACACACACACATATATATATATATAAATACACACACACATATATATACATATATATGTGTGTATATGTATACATGCATGTATGTATGTACGTACGTATATGTATATGTATATGTATATGTATATGTCTATGTCTATGTCTATGTGTATGCGTATGTGTATGTGTATGTATATGTATATGCATATGTATATGTATATGTATATGTATATGTATATGTATATGTATATGTATATGTTTATGTATATGTTTATGTGTATGTGTATGTGTATGTGGATATGTGCG